AGCAAGGCTGAAAAAAAATTTTTTTAAGAGCTGCCTGGTTAGTTCAGTTGGTTAGAGCACAGTATTATAACATCAAGGTCAGGAGTTTGGATCCTCATACCAGCCAGCTGCAAGAATAGATAAAAAATAAAAATAAATTTAAACAGCAAGGCCAATTGAGTAGTTAGCTATCAGTGTAATAAGCTGCACACAAGAATATTATTTATACATATACACATCTTATTAAAATACAAGGACATTATTTATACATTACACATATAAGAATATTATTTGTAGTAGGGAAATTAGAAATAAAATAAATTCCTGCTAAAGAAAGAACGGTTAAACAAATCACGGTATACCTGATCTTTTGCATATCTTCAAGGCATTAAAAATAGCAAGTCAGAACTGTAAGCACTGATACGGAAAGATGCCTATGATATGTAGCTTAGGAAAAAAGAGCACACTGAGAAACAATGTGGATGATGTAACATATACATAGAGAGGGAAGGAGAGGACATTTATGTGTTTATAAATTCATAGGAAATGTCTGGAACAATATTAACAATATTCCCTTCTAAGAAGGGGAGTAAGTTTAGAGGGAAGGGGATAAAAATGGAACCTTCACTTTACTCTGTATGAGTTGACTTTTTTTTTTTTTTTTTTACAGTATGCATTTCTTTTATAATTAAAGAAGAAAAAGTGACTGTTGTTACCGTTTGGCAGCAGGGCAACAGTATTATCTTCATCAATATGTGTATTGTATGTTAGTGCATAGCACGAACCTGTAAGAGAAAGTCCAGAGGAGAAATTAAGACAAAGAAGAAATCACACCTGAAAAATGTTAGTGGATTATTTTCACATGATAACAAATCTTCCAGGAAAGTAACGGTCAGCATCTACTACTGCTCCAGCTCACTTAATAAACCTAAAACCTGATAAGGGTGAGCCAGGTACCCAGGTCAAGCTCCAGCAAGTTCCCTCCTCCACCAACGGCCTGCTTGTGCAAGTTTACTGTCATCAACTAGTAAATGGACTTAGAGTGGAACATGCACCCTTGGGGATGCTGGCAGAGTGGCACAAAAGTGTACACACCTTAAAGGCAGAGCTGTAGGTTAATATTCAAAAGCTATTCAATCTTTCTGAGACTGTTTCCTCACCTGTTAAATGGGGATCACAGGCCTACTTCACAGTGTTCTTGAAAAGGGTTAAATTTGGTAAGATATTTAAAAATGCCTGCTACAGCAAGTGTCTACGTTATACACAAATTAGTACGAGACTTGAAGATAGATGAGAGGAGGGTGCCAATGCATTACAGACCTAGGACTCATGGAAGCAGCCTGGAGGACTCCATGACCAGCAACTTCATGAGGAGTAGACAGATGGGCCTATCTCTAAAACGGACCATGGCGAATGATGTGGATAAGACCAAAAACAAGACACCCAGCTCCATGTAGCCCCAGCAGCGCCAGAATGAGAGGAACTGCAAGGAACTAGAATTCTTCATAGCTCCACGGGAGAGGACACACACGGGGGCCACAACAAGATCAGTACACGGATACTGTACAGTGACTTATGCAGTGAGGGTGTGCTACGGGTCAAATGTGTCCCCCAAAAGTGCATATGTTGGAGGCTTGATCCCCACTGTAACTGTTAAGAGGGTGGGAAATCCTATCATGTTATTTGAAAGGTGAGGTCTTTGAGAGGTTATTGGATTGTGAGGATTGTGCCCTTGTGAACGGATTAATCCATTCATGGAGTAATGAGTTATCATGGGCGTGGTTCTAATGGCTTTACAAGGAGAGCGAGTGAGCAGGTTAGCTGGCTTGCTCGTGCCATCTCTTGCCATGTGACACCCAGCGACCCTGTAGAGAGTTCCACCCAGAAGAAGGCCCTCACCAGATGTTTCCTGGACCATGGACTTCCCAGCCTCCAAAAGTGTAAGAAATAAACTTAATTTTCTTATGAATTACCCAATTTCAACTATTCTGTTATAAGCAACAGAAAACAGACTAATTCAGAGTGAAACTCCTAAAGACTCTGAAATACAGTTTCAAACAAATGGCTCCCATGAAACAACTGGATCAAGTCAGTCAGCCCAGCTATATGGCTTGGAATAGGGTGATCAGAGGCAAGTCATGGACATGAAATCTAAGCAGAAGACCCCGAACCACATCGACCACCTGGCTCTCAGAACAGCAGCTGTGGCTGCATCAAGAGACCAGCCTTCTGAGACAGTTGCTGTGGGGACTGCTGAGAGCACAGTGTCTTTGCAGCCACACACCCAACAGCAGTGCAGCTGAACAGAGATCCCAGAATCTCTGCTCCATTCATCCTCCTTTTAAGACGACGGATACTCTCATGTTACAACATCCTCATCCAACACTTATGGACAAGTGTGACCAGAAACCCCTGCCTAATGAGGGCACGGGAAAGAGGAG